TATTTGTTTGTTTCTGTATACTACACTTTCTTTATATGTTCATCTGTTGCTGGGCATAGAGGCCTCTTCCAAGATTTGCCTGCTGTGAATTGTGCTGCTCTAAACATGGGTTTGGGAGCTGGGGATTTAGCTCAGCGGCAAAAGCGCCTGCCTGGCAAGCACGAGGTCGTGAGTTCGGTTCCCGGTACCGGAGAAAAACCAAAAAAAATAAACATGGGTTTGCATGGATCACTGTGATGTGATGCCTTTAATTATTTAGGGAAGTTACTTAGGAGAAAAACAGCTGAGTCAAATGTGATTTCTGGTGTTAGAGTTTCAAGTCATCTCCATACCTATTCCCACAGTGGTTGTACCCGTTCACACTGTCAGCAACAACAGAAAAGGTTCCTTTTTCCACGCAGCCTGCCAGCATTTACTATCAGCTGAATTTTGAAGACAGCCATTCATTCTTTCTGCAGTGAGACAAGGTCTCAGTGTTGTTTTCATTTGCATTTCTTGAATGGGCACCAATGCTGAACAGTTTTTCGTGTATTTATTGACTATTTTTACTTTTACTTCTGAGAAGATCTTTCATTTCAGTTTTTCTTTTTTTTTTTTTTTTTTTTTTTTTTTGGTTTTTCTCCGGTACCGGGAACTGAACTCACGACCTTGCGCTTGCCAGACAGGCGCTTTGCCGCTGAGCTAAATCCCCAGCCCCTCAGTTTTTCATTGATTATTAAATTCTGAGGGCTTAGGTTTGAGCACTTTTTTTTGTTTTTCTGTTTTGTTTTGGGGTTTTTTTGGTACCAGGAATCGAACTCGGGACCTTGCACTTGCCAAGCAGGAGCTTATGCCACTGAGTTATATCCCTGGCCCTGGTCTGAGGTCTTTTGTTCATAATTTTAAAATTTTATTAGTACAATTTGGAAATTCATGATGTTTACAGTAATCTTGGGAGTGGTAACATGTACATCTTACACCTTTTTTTTTTAATCGCCCTCCCCCCTTGTCCAATAGCCCGTCCTGTTTTTTGTACTTGTTGATATTGTTTGTCTTCGCTCATGTTATGACATATAGATTTTATAGTAACTGGGGTAATTAGGTTCCTGTACACAGCACATCTTTATTCCTCTCGTCGCCCCTTCCCCGCTCCTTGTTCCCTTGGACCCCTTCCCTATTGCAAGAGATTTGTCCTTTTGACCCCCTCTATCCATCCTTTATCATTCTCTTTGTTTGTACTTTGCCTCACTCAAAGGAGGGATACAATATCGTATTTAAGCTTAGGTGTCTGGTTTATTTCACTGAACGTTATATTTTCCAGGTGCATCCGTTTTCCTACAAATGTCTCAAATGTGTCATTCTTTATAGCAGAGTAGTATTCCATTACATATACATGCCACAGTTTCTTTTTTTTTTTTTTTGTACCAGAAATCGAACTCAGGACCTTGTGCTTGCCAAGCAGGTGCTTATGCTGCTGAGCTACATCCCCAGCCACATTTTCTTTATCCAGTCATCTGTTGATGGGTATACCGGCTGTGTCCAGGATTTAGCTATTACAAACTGTGCTGCTATAAATGTGGGTGTGCACGTGTTGCTATAGTGGGATAACTTAAACTCTCTGGGGAAGATACCTAGCAGGGGGAGAGCTGAGTTGTATGGAATTTATAATTTCGGTTCTTTGAGAAATCTCTGTACTGATTTCCATATGGCTATACTACTTTGCAGTCTCACAAAACAATGCAAGAGGGTTCCTTTTTTACCACAACCTCACCACCACTTGTTATTGTTTGATTTCCTAATGATTGCTATTCTTTCTAGACTGAGGTGGAATATTAGCATTGTTTTAATTCACACTTCTGTAATGCTGAGATGGTATCTGAGTTACTTTCTTCTCATTGCTGAGACCAAATACCTGCCACCTAAAGTTAAAGAGGGAAAGGTTTATTTAGGTTACAGTTTGTGGAGGCTTCAGTCCATACTCAGCTGGCTCCAAGGCAGAGTGGCGCATGGCAGATGAGCAACCATTCATGGCAGCAGAAGACAACAAATACAACAAGCAAGGAGGAAAGAGAGACAAGCCTCTTTCTGTCCCTTATCTTGTATACAATCTACCAGGATTAGGGTAGTGCACTGATTGGATTGGCACTACCCTAATCCTGGTAGATTGTATACAAGATAAGGGACAAAAAGATGTATTTGTTGTCTTCTGCTGCCATGAATGGTTGCTCATCTTCCTGTTACTGTGTTAGTGTCCTGTGGTTGATTACCTTATATTTTAGGGGTTTTTTCTTCTGCTTACCTGCTCACCCTATTAGGTGAATTCATTCTATCTGATTTATTAGTATTGATCAGCTTCACTGTCTCTTTGTATGTAATGCTTGATAATTTTTTGTAATGCTGGTTTGATGGTTATGGATTTCTTCAGGTATTCCTTTCCATGGAAGTAACATTTCTCCGATAATTTTGAAGGAACATTTTGCAGAATGTATAATTTGGGACTGGAGATTGGTACGTTTTAGTGCTTTAGACCTTAACTTCAAGTCCTCCTGGGTCTGAATATTTGTGTTGAGAGATCTATAGTTATTCCAATGGATTTAGCTGCATAAGGACCTCCATTGTTTTGAGAATGATACTACATGGAGAGGTTCTCTTTTGGTTGTAGCTATTTGGAGTTGTATATGCTACACCTTTCTCTATGTTTATTTCCTGCCCTATATTTGGGAAGTTTTCTGCTATTTCTTTCTGTAAGCAGTTTTTTTTTAATGCCATTGGCTCTGGCTTTTTTCTTTATTCATTCAGTTAGTATGCTTAGGTTAGTCTTCTGTGCATCACCTAGCAGCTAATGCAGCAATATTTCAGGTTTTCTTGTTGCTTTAAGGTGTCTTTGAGTAGATGGTCTTTAAAAGCGTCCCTATATCTAATTGTCACTTTCTGCCCACATTGGTTGCTTCTGTTGCCCATATGGTCAATGCGGTTTTTAATATGGATTTGTCAGTGAAATCATTTCATGAGTTCTAATTCTTCACTAAACTGCCTGTTCATGTTTGATAAGATTTTGTTTCGCTCAGGTACATTTTTATTAGTTACTTCTGAAATTTCCTGGATGATTTTGTTTTTCTCTTAGTTACATCCTCTGTGACCTCATACAGCATCTCCTTGATTTATTTTCTAACCTCCTGTGGTATCCTTTGGACTTTCAGGTATTGACTTATGCTATCCTCCTCCCTGATACCCCCTGGACTGGCTTTGGAGGAGGTGAGAGTATGAAGGTCATTTTGTTGACTTGTGGTCTCATTTTTCTGTTGCTCTTTGCTTGTTTCTTTTGTGCTAAAATTCATGGTGCTTCTACTGCACAGTCTTTGTTGCTAGTAAAGAGATCTGTATAGTCAGTCTGTTTTTCAGGGATGCACTTTTGGCATCGCTAACTAGAGTGCTTTACCTCTATGCTAAGATCTGACCATCTCTGTTAATTTGGGAGGGGAGGATGCAGTGTTACTGACCCAACACCAGATTCACTGGGAATGAGCTCCAGTCCTATTAACTTCATGAAAGCAATCTGAGTATTGGCACACAGAGGAAGCCCATCGATGGCAATAATTATGTGACCCTGGCAATGCCAAGCAAAACAGGTACAGTAATATCATCCAAGACAAATCAGATACTAACATACAGTGAGAAGCAATTAAGTGCCACCTTTAACCGTATAATAGAAATCCACAATTACAGCACAAATACTGAGACAACTGATATATTATAAATGATATATTAGCCTATATGTACTAAATGCAGCCACTATAGCACCTATAATATCAGAAAAACATTCAAGGTTGATTTTTTGAGCTAACTACATAGAGATTAATAAAGCTTAAATATTATACTATTGAAGATATATGAGGCAAGGAAAGTCAGGATGCAAGGACAAGAACTTGAATTCTTAGTCCAGAGGATGTGAGAATGAGGAGGGAAAAGTGGAGCACGTGATCCTGTTATACACGAGAAGGATGAGCGTAGCGTTAGGTATGGGTAGCAATAAACATGGCCAAGGAGTAGAACTCAACAGAAAAAAAGGAAGAAGTGAAAAGCCATTATATGCAGAATAAAAATAACAAAGAACACAGGGAAAATTAGAAGGAAAAAGAAGGGAAAGATGATAAAAGAGGTAAAAAGAAGGACTAAGAAAAAGGAGACAAAAGAAAAAAATTTCTCTGAGATTTTGAATGATCATTTCCATCCACGATGCTAAATTTTGGGTCTAGCACTTCTCCATGTTCTCAGAGTCGGGACCCTCTGCTTTTCACTGGCTGTGGCAGTGTCCAAGGCAGGGCGGGTCCTGCTCACTCTGTAAGAGAAGGAAGGCAGCCACACCCCAGATCCATGCTGGAGGCAGGCAGAAGTCCAAGGGCTTGAATACCCAAAGCTGAGACTTTCAAGCCCAGGGCATCTCAGGCTGGGCCTGCCCTCACCTGGAGGACAGGCCCTGTGCCCTTCCCAGCTGCGCTCAAAGCCCTCAGGGCCTCTTTCCAGCCCCTCCCTGTCCAAGGCAGTTTCCCTCGGTTGTCTCCCCGCCCCTCACTGTGGGAGGGTGACACCGGGAACCCTGAAGTTAAGCTGTTCTGTGGCTCTTCTGAGTTTCAGGTTTGAACTCAGCGCTTTCCTGGAATGGCACCCAAGGCCGCTTTCTCTCCTGGGATATGGCAGGCACCTGCACAAGGGTCACCTGCCCACCCTGGCCTGTGTAAGGGCTCGGTGGGAGCAGAACTCCCCGCCATCCATGAAGATCACAACAAGTGCCAGTCCACTGAAGCACCGCCTTTGCTCCTTGGGACCTGCTGGAGTCCCCAGGTTTCACTTAGGTTCTCCACACTCATCCTCCTGTCTTGCAAGCCAGGAGCCAGGGAGAAAGTCCCGACAGCTGGGCTCCGTCTCCACATGGTCTCTCCTTTAGCTGCTCTGTAGTTTTAATTTTCCTGTCAGTCTTTCATGATGTCCAGTGATCTATGTCTTTTTTTGTCTTCCTGAAGATTTTATTTTCCAGAGTCTGGATTCCACATCTCAGAAAGGCTGAACTGGTGTTGCTCCCCACTCTTCCACTTTCCAGGACTGAAGGTTTGAAGTTACCCCACACCCGTAAAAAGAAGAGACCTCCCCCGAGAGCCTGGCTTCCCTGTTAGCAACCTGGGGCCTGGGAAGGAAGGCTGCATGAGGATTGCTCTCATTTCTATTAGGTGGATGGGGGTGGGAGGACTCAGGGAGGGGAGGACCTTGGTCCAAGTGGTGTCCTCAGGTCAGCAGAGGAAGTCACATATGGTCAGCACATGGAGGACCCCAGGCGCTGACAGACGCAAGCTGTAGAGCCTTCCTGAGGACTGAGTGTGTCTGCAGCCCAGAAGCTTGGAACCCACAGAGTCTGCCTGTCCCCTGGGTCAGCCCTGGGAGACTCCAAGTGGCATGCTCACCTCTAGCCTGGGCAGGAAGTTGGAGAGTCTTCAGGGGATGAGGTCTTGGTCTGAAGGAGAGAGAAACGCTCCTTTCAGCTGGGGTTGAGGCTCAGGAAAGGGCAGCCCTGACAGGAGGAAGATGCAGAAACTACTGAAGCACATAGGGTTTTCTTAGGGTCTCAGCACTGAGACAGTACCTGACACCTGCAGTTTAGAGAGGGAAATGCTGATCTGGGCTCCGAATTTCTAGAGGTTTCGGTCACAGTGAGCCAGCTCCAAGGCATAACGGCACGGTGTGTGGGCCTGCTGGGAGGAAGGCTGCTCACCACAAGTCTTCCAGGAGGGGAGAGGTCAGGAATGGGGACATAGCCCGGGGGTCACACCCACAGTGACCCTCCCCTTCCTACCAGGCCCGAGCTCCTAAGGACAAGTTAGTTCTAAGCCCTCATACCCCAGGCATGTTCCAAAGGTCTTAGGGTCCTCCCAGGCATGTTCCAAAGATCCTGGCTCTGATCTTATGGGACATTTGCATGAAATTTAAACCAAAGCCATACCAAGCGTCCTTAGCCACAGGAGAAATGCTTTCTGTCATCACTCGTGTGCCACATACAGGTGACAGATGGGCAGAATCCTGGTGGTCTCAGAGAGTTGAGGGACTTGATCTGAGGGGGTGTCTGCAGGTAACCACAGGGAACCCATCTGTCCAGCAGACACAGTGTCTGCCAAGGTAAAGCTGAGGACCCTCGGGGAGGACTGAGGGTACCTGCCCCAAAACACAGATGGTGGGTGCTCAGAGCACGCCTCCCCTGAGCCGCAGTCATTCCAGCAGCCTGGCCATGGCTGTCAGGCTGAGGCTGCACCCTTAGTTCTGGCTCATTGGTCTCAGTGAGGTGAAGGCCTTGGGTCAACGGGGCTTGAATGGGGACAGCAGAAGTAGCATCCCAGGGTCTGTCTAGGCTCCAGTGAGGCAGAGGGAACACACTCACATGAACACACATCACCCTAGCCTCGACCTGTGCCTTTGTTACCTGCTGTCAGACCCAGGGGACACAGGTGGACTTGCTTTCCTCCGCTTCCTCTTTGAATGTCTCAGAGAGAGGGCTGTGGGTTAAAGAAGGTGGGCCCCTCTCATCCCAGGGAGAGTCCCAGACCCAACCATTTATGGAGATAAGGAAGAAGCAGGTTCCCTTTCCTAGAGCACATGAATTTCTCCACCTCCACCTGTGGACTCAGCAATCTTGGCCCCTGTTCTACCCTCCCTGCCTTTTGTTTCCTGTCAGGAAGGGAGACTTTTTTTTTTTTTTTCTGAGAATTTGTCTTAGGCCAGCAGAAGGATGAGGTCGGGGCTTTGAGCAGAGAAAACACCATCAGTGGGGACCTCAGGGTCCATCCCTCCCATCCTGTGAAGGCCACAGGACTATGCTTGAGGTCTGTCACCTGAGAGCCTTCATGTCTCCCACAGGAGCTCTAGGAAGCAGGAGAGGAGGTCTTGGTCTGAAGCAGTGTCCACACCTCACAGCAGTGGAGGTCGCCTGACAGTGCCAGGAGTCAAGGTGAGGGACTGCCCTGATGTGTACCAAGGGGACAGTGTCCAAGAGCAGGGACTGCTCATGGCACGTGGGCTCCATATGCTGTGCTGTCTGCCCCAGAGCCTGTCCTCTGCAGTTCAGCTGCAGTCTCACTTCCTGTCCCAGGTTCTCGGGGACAGACCCTCCGGGAGGACGGGAGTCTGTAAGGTCCTAGAGCAGCACTCAAAGCAAGACCTGTCATCGGGCTTTGTGGAAGCCAGCAAGAGTGTTGGTGTCGGCTGAGAATACTCAGTCTCCCTCTCTCCCCCAGGCATCTGAGTCCTCATCTTGAAGCTCTTGCTGTCCCCAAGGAACGTGAGAACACCTTCATCATAAGAAGAGCCACGCGTCAAGCTAGAGAAGCCTTCCAGGCCAAAGAGGGACACAAAGACTAGTGGGTGTGTGGGTGCTCTAGTCTGAGGGAGAGCAAGTAGCTGCCACTGCTTTCTCTGCATCCTCTTCCTGCTGTACCGAATCCCAGGCACACCAGCAGAAGGACCTGGGACCAGGACACCAAGTCCTCAGGTTTCTCAGCTCTTCTCCTTTACCCTCATTGCCATGGCCTCTAATTACAATGGCCAGTCTGGCCAAGGCCCCAGCAAGGAACATGAGGAGCGTCCATGCCCCTCACAGGACCAGGAAGGTCCTCAGGCCTTGCCCCTTGAGGTCTTACACAAGAAAATAGATGCCTTGGTGGATTTCTTGCTCTACAAGTATAGCAATAAGGAGCTGACCACCAAGGCAGAAATGCTGTACTTCTGCATGCAGGATTACCCAGAGCACTTTTCTGTGATCTTCAACAAAGTCTCTGATTGCTTATATATGGTCTTTGGCATTGATATCAAGGAAGTGGATCCCCCTGGGGATGTATATGCCCTTCTGCCTGTCCTAGGCCTCACCTATAATGAGATAGTGGGTGATGACCACAGCATTGCTAAAACCAGCCTCTTGATAATGATTATCACTGTTATCTTCCGCACGGGCAACTGTGCCAGTGAAGAGGTTGTCTGGCTTGCACTCAATAGAATGCAGGTGTATGATGGGGTACAGCACTTGATCTATGGGGATCCTAGGAAATTCATCACCGAGGATTTGGTGCAGGAAGGGTATCTAGAGTATCGGCAGGTGCCCAATAGTGATCCTCCTTGCTATGAGTTCCTGTGGGGTCCAAGGACCCACGCTGAAACCACCAAGATGAAAGTGCTGGAGCATTTGGCCAAGGTTAATAGGAGAGATCCTTGGTCCTACCCTCTTCTGTATGAAGAGGCTTTGAGAGATCAGCAAGAGGCCGCCCATGCACGAGGTGTGGGCCTCTGAGGAGGCAAGGTATAGGCAGGGACAGGGCATGTTCAGAAGCTACGTCATCAGCTTCGCCCCTGCCCATGTAAAATGATGCCCATTCTTCAGTCTGTGTTTGAGGACAGCAGCAGGCCTTCTCAGGAGTGAAGGGCCAGGGTAGTGGGGAAACCCTGGGAATATTTTCTTGATGTTTGTTCTATTTGTGTTACATGAAAATTGACAGTTTATTTCTTGAAAATTGAAGGGGTTTACATATTTCATTTGAAGAATGGTATTGATCTCACATCTATTTTTGCTATTGTTACATCATTTGTCCACATTTATTTTGATGAAATTGTGCTTTTCTGTGGTATTGAGCAAATGGATTTTGCTTTTCGTTTCCAAGAGTAAGAGTCTTTGCTGTTTTGTAAAACCAACTAGGAAACCTTTTGCTTTTTTGTGATATGAAACATACCATAGCACTGAAGTGGGAATTTCTTTGAAATGTGTAAGAACTGTTAAGATAAATGGAGTTGAGAAATTAAGACATAAAGATAAATTTCAATTTGTGACTTTTCCATGTTTTCCAGTTATTATAAACTATTGAAAAATAAATGTACCTGAAATTGCTTGGTTTCTTCACTTATATTAGGGAAATGTACTGTTCATAAAGAAGCCCATCTGCTCACGGGCCCACAGACCTGCAAACCTTCACTGCCCACGTGCACTTTGGAAGGTCCTGTGTCTATGTTTGAGATAAGGATAGACTAAGCTCACCAGAATCCACCGTAGCTAGTAGAGTGGTGACGTCTAGCGACAGCCACCCTGTGAGGGTGATGGAGAGGTGATGTCTAGAGCCTAAAGAAGAAGTACAAGAGCAGGGCGTAGTTGGGGCCCAGCAGAGAGCAGCCATGGGTTAGTGCTGATCCTGTGAATCTTGGGGATTGGGGAAACTTCTGTTTCTTTTACACGAGTTGATTTAATGCAGCTGCAAGGTGGCCAGGACCAGACCCTCAGATGGGTGTCTTGGGCCTGAGACGACAGCTCGAGAGCATGGAAGACTGCTCTGAGCAGCACTTTTAGGTGGTGGGTGAAGCTGAGAGGAATCCTCACCTGGGACAGCTAGGAGAAGAGTGGTGCTATGCAAGGTATGAACAGGGTGACTTATTTCTAGTCTCTGTAAGATTTTCCTGAGAGATAAGGGGGAAACCTCAGGTGAAATGAGCCCCTAAAGTCAACCCACATATAGCATCTCTACCCAGCTAGGTACAAGACCCTGCGTTCACACACTGAAACAGCATCCTTTCATTGCCAATGGTATGAAGTGTTAAGAAAGAAACTTGTCTTTAGTACTCAGGCCTGAAACGGGCCTTATGTGCCACACCTTGCTACCAGGGGCCTGTCACCGTGGCACACCTCCATTCCTCCCTTCTCACGGATCTACCTCCTCCCTGCCTATCTTCCCACCACCAGAGACCACGCGCACACACACACACAGTCTCCTCATAAGAGACGGATTTTATTTTCATCCATTGGTCCTAGGAAGGACCCTGGCTTAATCAAAGACTTGTGCTCTAAATGAAAAGCTGTTCTGAACATGTACTTGCCTTTAGCCAACAGGCACTTGTTTTTACCTAATCTTAATGCCAATTCTATTAGCAAATTATTTACTTCCTATTTCCTGAGTTCCTCTGGACAAATAGACTTTACCTTAAAGGAGGGACACTACTGGAATTCTTTTTTTTGTGAGCACCTATATAAAGCTGCTGGCTTCCTGAAGAAAATAGCCTGAGATCAATTAAATGAGACCATTTACCTCCCCTGGTTGAGCATCTCTCATTCAGATTTTTGTCCTGATAGCTTTAACCACGGGTCAGTGCGGCTATATTAATACGACACAGCATATATTTCTGAGCAGAGAATATCATCAAGAATAAAGAATTCCTTTTATAATAATAAGTTGTCAATTAAAGGGCCTAAACATCCTAACCTTTAATGCTACTAATAGCAGAGCATCAAACTGTGAAAGAAAGTGATATAACTACATGAAGAAATACAACTACAGGTCCACAAACATAATCAGAGATTTCAATAACTCTATCTCAATGAATGAAAAGTCAAGTAGACAGAAAATGTGTGAAGATGTAGCAACTTTGAACTATGCTTTCAATTAAATTGATCTAATTAACATTCACAGAATAATCTCAGTAACATCAGAGTCCACATTTTCTTCGAGTGCATATGGGATAGTTATCAAGATAGAGAATATTGTCAGTTACAAATCAAGCCTCAGTAAATGTAGAAGTAATTGAGTCATGCAGAATTTGCTCCCTGACCACAGTGGAATTAAATTTATAATGAATAAAGAATATATATCTGGAAAATCCCCAATATTTGAAAACAAAATGATACACTCTTATGGAACAAAATATAAATCAAAATCAAGCTGTAATATACTTTTTAAAAATTGAAAAGGAAAACACACCACAGTAAAAGTCATATGGTTCCACCAAAGCAATAATTAAAGGAAAATTTACAGTACTAAAGTGCTTGTGTTTGAAAGAGAAAAGTTCTGAAATCAACAACCTTATCTTCCCCTTTAAAATCTTATAGGTGGAAGAGTACAGTAAATGCAGACAAAGTAGAAGGAAATAAAGATCAAAGCAATATCAAATGGAAAACTGCAAAAGTATAGAGAAAAATCAATAAAACAAAGATGACTGGGAGGACAGTAAAAGTGACAAGTTTCTAGGCAGACTGATGACATGTAACCAGTGTTAGGAGCAAAAAGCGTGACATCACTAGAGTCTGCAAATAACAAAATAAAAAAGTATGAACAATGTGTGCCAATGAATTTAACAACTTACATGGAGTGAATAAATCCCTGAAAGATACAAACTACCAAGCCTTATTCAAGAAAAAAACACATATAACTCAAATATACCTATAACTATTAATGGAATAGCACTTGAAAGTTAAAATATTTCCCAAAAATCATCATACACAGAAGGCTTCCCTGGTGGATTGTAGCAAGTGTTTCAGGAAGACTTGACACTAATCTCGTCCAAACTATTCCAAAATTTAGAAGAGAAGGAAAAACTACTTCCAAACTTAGTCTTTCAGGTCAATACGGTGGTACCTCAGTTCACGAATGCAAACAGAAGCGTTTGGCAAAATTTCGTTTTTGTTTGCAAACTTTGCATCAGGTGACGAACACGAGTGTGGCCATCTACTTTGCACCAACACGAACTTGGTCATTTCCTCCAGAATCATGGAATGATTTAAGTGTGTGAACTGATGTACCACTGTATTAGCCTGAAATTAAAATCAAATATATCACAAAATAAGGAAAATTGCAGACCAATAATCTTTAGAAGTATAAGTATAGAAATCTTGGGGCTGGGGATTTAGCTCAGCGGCAAAGCGCCTGCCTGGCAAGCGCAAGGTCGTGAGTTCAGTTCCCGGAACCGGAGAAAAACCAAAAAAAAAAAAGTATAGAAATCTTCAACCACATATTAGCAAGTCAAACCCAGGAATATATGCACAGGATTAGATCTGATCACCAAGTGAATAATGGTGATTTATCCCAGGAATGGAAGGTTTATTTAATATCCAAAAAAACCAATCATGTAGTCATATATGTGATGGTCTCAGTAGGCCTAGATGATAAAATCCAAATCCTTTTATAAATACACTCAACAAACTGAGAGTAAAAAACAAGCTTCTCTACCTGATAAAGGCAATGAACAAGCTAACATGCTTAATGAAAAAGGCTGAAAGCCTTTCCCCTAAAATAGAGACAAGAAAGCTTGCTTTCATCTTTTCTTCTGCAAAATTAGGCAAGAAAAAGAAATTAAAAGCTGCCTTTATTTGGAGATGACACACCATTAAAATAAGTGAGTTTAAGCAAAGCCATAAACAGACTGAAAGTGAAAGGTGGGAAAATAATACTGTACTCTATACAATTGGAATCCAAAGTCAAACAGGAGTAGCTATATTCATATCTGACAAACCAGACTTCAAGATAAAATTATACCAGACAAAGAAGTGCACTGTATATTTGCAAAGGGAACAATCACCCAAGAAGATATTAAAATTTTAAATATATATACACTGACTATTGGTGTGCTGATTTTATAAAATATGCACTACTCAACATAAAGGGACACATAGGGCCCAATAAAACAACAGGGAGGGATTTCAGTAGTCCACTTCCCAGACCAAAAATTCAACAAAGAAACATCCAAGTTAAATACAGCACAGATTAAATTATCTTAACAAATGTCTATAGAACATTCCATTCAACAACTACAAAATACCATTCTTCTCAGTCGCTCTTGGAACATTCTCCAGAATAGATCATATTTTATGCTATAAAGCAAGCCTTAACAAATACAAAACTTGAAAGTTCCTTGCATCAGAACATAATGAAATAAAATTAGAAATCAACAGTGAGAGGGGCTGGGGATTTAGCTCAGCGGCAAAGCGCCTGCCTGGCAAGCACAAGGTCATGAGTTCAGTTCTCGGTGCTGGAGAAAAACCAAAAAAAAAAAAAAAAAAAAAAAAACAGTGAGAGAAACCACAAAAACTATATAAGCATGGAGATTAAACAATCTGCCTTTGAAGAATCAGTGGAGAAACTAAGGAGGAAATTTTAAAATTTCTAGAATCAAATTCAAATGGAAATAACATACAAGAATCTCTGGGATATGGCAGAGGCAGTTACAAGAGGGAAATTCATAATTATGAGTACTATCAAAAATCAAATATATCAAATATCAAATCTCCAATAAATAACCTAATGATATATGATATATCAAATATATATCAAAAATCAAATCTCCAATAAATAACCTAATGATACATCTCAATGTCTTAGAAACATAAGAACAAGCAGAAACTAAACTCAATAAAAGGAAATAATAATAAAGATCAGAGCTGTAATTAACAAGATAGAACGTAAAAGAACAATACACAAGATCGATAAATAGTTGGGGTTTTTTTGAAGGATGAGAAAGATTGATGAACGCTTGACCTAAACAATCCAAAGAAGGAAAGAGAAGACCCATATCAATACAATTAGAGATATAAAAAGAATGTTGTTAACAATAGACACCACTGAAGTCCAGAGGATTATCAGGCACTGTTTTGGAAACCTATGTTCTATTAAATTGACAAATGCAGAAGAAATAGATAAATTTCTAGACACATAGAACCTACCAAAATTGGATTGGTAGCATATTAAAAAATCTAAATAGATCTATAATAAGCAATGAGATTAAAGCAGTATTAAAAGCTCTCACAATAAAAAGAGCCTAGGATCAGATGGTTCACTGCCAACTTTTACCAGACTTTTAAAAAAGAGCACCAATGCTTCTGAAGCTAGTCCATGAACTAGGAAGGGAAGTAACACTTTCCATTTGCTGTATAGCGCAAACATCACTCTGATATCAAAACCAGACAAAAGCACGACGTCAACAACAAAACTAGAAACTAGTATTTCCATGCTTATAGATACTAAAATCCTTAATAAAACACCCACAGAATCCAACAACACATTAAAAGATCGCGGAATGCAAGGACAGTTCAACATGCACAAATGTGTAAATGTGACATAT